TACATTGCCATTAATCTTCCTCAAAATATTCCCCCTTTTGGGGGGGGCAGTGCCAGGGATCAAACTCAGGCCCTTGTGCTTGCCAGGCAAGCGCTTATTCCACTGAGCTATCCCCACCCTTCCCCTTTGCTTTGAGCGCCCTTCCCCCACAGTTCTCGCCCTTCCTGAGGCAGCTAAGGAAACCACCTTTCATGAGTGTCACTAGCCGTGCCCTGGCTGCCTGGATGTCCTGAATCCATGCACAGCATCCACCTTTTGTGGTGATTCTGACTTTGGGGAAGAGCCAGGAACCTCGCGGGGCCAGATGCAGTGACTAAGGAGTGTGAAGACAGGAGCCATGCTTTTCTTTGACAAGAATTGCCTTAAACAGCTGATCAGTAAGTGTTAATCAGAAGATAGGGTCAGTGCTTATAAACAATACACCCCAGCAAAAGACACTGCCATTAGTCGCCCCTACAGTATTCTGTCTCACCTGGACACTTGCGTCGTTTTTGGCAGTTAGACTGTTTTGATCTTTATTTCTTTATTTATTTGGTAGAATAATAAATCATAGATCAGACTCGTAGTGATCCTCCTGTCTCAGCCTCCCCAGCGCTGGGATTATAGGCGTACGCCACCACACCTGGTTTTGGTAGCCAGCACTCTGGGGCCGGCACAGAACGCCGTACCTGGGATCAAACCCGGGTCCTTGTGCTTGCCAGGCAGGTGCTTAGAACACCAAGCTATCTTCCTAGCCCAGACTGTCATTTTAAAACAAAACTCATGGGCTGGTGAGATGGCTCAGTGGTCTAAAGCACCTACTTAGAACAAGCTAAGCAAAGCACAGGGACCGCGGTTCAATCCCCAGCCCCACGTGCCAGCCAGCCCGCCCCCTGGTGGGCTGAGCTGGCCACACACACAAATAAATAAAAATTTAAAAAAAAATCGTTGTTTTATTTGAGACAGCATCTCATGTAGTTCAGCCTGAGCTTGAGCTCACTGCGTGACCCAGGCTGGCCAAGAACTCTTGGCCATCCTCCTGTCTCAGCCTCCTGAGTCCTGGGATTCCAGGCGTGCGTCACCGTGCCCAGCTAAAACAAAAATAGAAAGTAAAGTGGACGTGGTGCTCCCACCTACTTAGGAGGCTAAGGCAAGAAGATTGCAAAATCAAGGCCAGAGGGCCGGGGAGATAGCTCAGTGGAATAAGCGCTTGCCTAGCAAGTGTAAGGGCCCGAGTTCAAGCCCTGGTTCCGCAAAAAAAAAAAAAGCAAGGTCAGACTAGACAAATAAGAAGACCATACCTCAGAAATGCTGATAATAACCACGGCGGGCCTGGGGTGTGACTCCTGGGCGCGCCCTGGAGGCTCACCTTGTGACCCAGGCTGTAGCAGTCCTCCTGCCCCAGCCTCCCACAGTGCTGGAGTTAGGTGTGTGCCACTCGGCCCATCTTGTCCGTTATGTATCCATAAGCCCACTTGGGGGATATATTGGTGGCTTTAGGGGACCATTTAACATTAAATCTGAATAACATCGCAAATGTTTCAATTAGTAATTCCTAGCAGCAACCATTCTGGTCACTGGTGTAGGCAACAGGCAATTTTATTCTTCTTTGCGGGGGAGTTGGAAGGCTTTGTTGCTCTCAGCGAATCTGAGCTCCATGTAACGGGGAGGGTCCTCCCGCAGCCGCTGCTTCGCCCCTGCAAGCCTGGCCAGCAGGGCACTGACGCACATGTCCCAGGAGAGCACCTGTGTCCTCCCGCTGCCTCCGCTCCAGCTTAAGGGCCAGTCACGGGCAGCAGCCTTCCTGGGACCCTGAGCAGCAAGCACCTCTTCGAGTAGCTCTTCGAGCGCGTCCCCAGCAAAGGTGAGAGCAGAGTGCAGCGCTGGCAGCTGCCACCGGCACTCACCGCCTGGGAGACCCTAGCGTTCGGCACACTCGTGGAGCCACCTTCTCAGTGGACTGGAGCCCCGTGTCTGAGAACCTGGGGTGCTGAGGGAGGCAGTGGCGGGAGTGGCCTGCACTCTTGGAGCGAGCCTGCGACCTCGGCACTCCGGATGGCTGAGGCAGGAGAGCCGTGAAGGGCCAGCCCTGTAAAGCAGTTCAGCAAGACCCTGCATGAACATGTGAGGGGAGAATGCAATTCAGTGCAGAGGCTCTGGGTCTGTGGGGGGCTCGCAGGGTAGGACACCCCTCATCCAGAGGAGTGAGGCGGCCCTGCGCAGGCAGCTCCTGGGAGCGCCCTCCGCCACCGCCTCAGCCCTGGCTCCTGCCATCCCGGCAGATGCTACCTGGCTTGGCGCATGTGTGACAGTGCAGTATACAGTCTTGGGGTCTTTTTCAGACCACCGGTTTTAAGCCCCATTTCAGTATTCTGGCTGTTAGGATTGAAGCCAGGAAGACAGCCTGAGAGCGCGTGACAGTCCACTGCAGCCGCGCTCCAGACTGTGGAGGGGGTGGGTGGAGTGCTCTGCCTTCTCACGCTGCCCAGCTGCAGGCAGAGGGGCCAGATAAAGTGTGCAGGGTCAGCGCAGCTGCTGGTGGAAGGGCATCGGTGTGTGCGCTTCGGAGCCCGGAGGAGCACGTAGAGCCTGGCTCCCCTAGCAAGCACCTGCTCTCTTAGGTTTGTGTACCTCCAAGTCAACAACCGACTCCACAAATCAAACTCATTTTGGTGACAAATTGCAGGCATTTTTGTACTTGGAGGCACTGACCAGCCCGAAATCACAATCCTTGCGGCCCAGTGCCATGCCCAGTGGCACACACACACACACACACACACACACACCGTGAAGTCAGTATGTGACATTCTCCCCCAAAGGCACAGTTTATCACGCGTTCTGTGCAGATCTGAGCGGCAGTATTTCTGTTTTCCTTGGCAATAAAGTGTGGGTTGTGCGTGTTCTTCACCCATGACCTGTGCAGCTGAGCCAAGCTCCGGCCAGAGCTGCAGGGTGCAGCATGACTCGTGGGCTTGCTTGGGCCTGCTGCCTACGTTTCTGGCTCAGAGTGGCCAGTGGCGCACCTACAAGAGAAATGTTTTGGACATTGTTAGACTCTGACCGTTTCCCCCTCTTTTCTGGGGGAAAGGGTCTATATTCGGTTTTCTTATTTTACAATGACGATTGTGTACCCGCGTGAGACAGCTTGAGCAGCCTCCAGGAGTGGGGTGGGGTGGCCTCCGGGGGCCTACGCGCTGCCTGCCTCTATCTGTGCCTCTGACATTGGCTCCGAGACCCGTTGAGGTCCTTGGTGGCATAGTTGTGCAGGTTTCATAAATACTCTCCCAGCCTGTGTAGGACCTGAAAACAAGCCCCTGGTAGAAGCCGGCGACTCCACTAAAGGAGCTGTCGCGGATGTTCCCAGCATTGGGGAATCCTCAGCACGCCCACCCCGGTGTCACTCTGCTGTCCCAGGGTGCTTGTGACGTGTGGCACCAGAGGGAGAGATCAAAGGAAGATACACTTGAGCCACGGCTTCCTGGTGTCAGGGCTTGGGGTCTTGGGCTGGCAGCACCTGCCTCACAGGGCTGTTGCAGTGGAATCGGGCTCGGTGTGCACAGTGCAGGGATGGCCACGAGCAGCAGGCAGTCAGTACTGCTAGTGTTTTATCTTCATTGTATTTTTCCTTCTTCAGGATGAAATTGACTCTGCAGTGAAGTCGCTGTTGTCATTAAAAATGAGCTACAAAGCCCTCGTGGGGGAGGAGTACAGCCCTGACTGCCCCCCAGGAAACCCAGCGCCCAGGAGCAAGAGTGGCCTGGAGGCCACTGAAGGCTGTGAGGACTTTGTGGACCCGTGGACAGTACGGACAAGCAGCGCAAAAGGCATCGACTATGACAAGCTCATAGGTAGCCTCTGCCTCTCCCCCCCCCCCCCCCGGGGCAGCCCTGGCTTTTAGAGGAGCTCTCTCTAGTGGGTTGTCTCTGTGTGTGTTTGCAAGTCGTTTTCTTTTTCCATACTTAAAATTTATTTTCCGTTAATGTGCTGTGGTGTACCTTGGTGAGACACAGTGTGATCTCCCCAAAGGTGCACATCCTGTGTCATGCCCCGTCGGAGTAGCTGGCGGGTCCACCACCTCCGACAGTCTCATCCCCTTGTGGTGAGGATGCCAAGTCCTCCTGTCTCCTGGCTGTTTGAAACGCACGGTGCACTCTTGGGACCCACGTCCACGTCCACCGTGCTGTAACTGCAGCAGCACTTGGCCCCCATCCCCCTGGAGCCCAGCTCCTTCCCCTCCCCCACTCGCACTGTTCTAGTCCCCACATTCATGCGATGACTTCCTTATAGTCCACCTGGGATGCAGAAGGCCTGAAGAGATCTGGGCCCTTAGGATTGTCCAGGAAGAGCTGGGCATGGTGGCACACACTTGTGATCCTCACACTCTTGGGAGGCTGAGGCAGGAGGATCCCCAGAGTTCGTGACCAGCTTGAGCTATATAGTGAATTCAAAGGTAGCCTAAACCACATAGCACAACCCTGTCTCAAGAAAACGCAGTCAGAGCCAGCAAGATAGTTCAATGGACTAAGCACCCACTTAGGCAAGCACAGGGACCTGGGTTCGATCCCTGGTACCACCTGCAGCCCCGGCCCCCCCTCCAGACACACTGAGCCAGCCTACAAGTCTGGGTGTGGTGGTGCATGCCTGTAATTCCAGTGCTGAGGAGGATCACAACTAGTCAGAGCTACACAGTGAAACTCTGTACCAAATATATTAAAAAATAAAAACAATAATGACAAGATCGTCCAGAGACTGCAAGTGTCTCCCTCTGTGCGGTGGTACCCGCTCTCTAACACCACTGCCTTCTGAGAGGTCATCTCTGCCGTTTTCCACCTTTTCTTCCAGTTCAGTTCGGAAGCAGTAAAATTGACAAGGAGCTGATAAACCGGGTAGAGAGAGCCACCCACCAGAGACCGCACCGCTTCCTGCGCAGGGGCATCTTCTTCTCACACAGGTCAGAGCCCTCCCTGTGCCGCCGCCGCTGCTCCCCACAGCCCAGGGCAGCGCTTCCCCTCCGCATCCTCCGCCCGGGCAGACCGCGGCCAGCTTGTGCACTGCCTGGAGCGTACTGCGTCACGCTGGCCCCCTTGTTCACAGGCCCTTTAGCTTGTGTGTTGGTGTGCAAACTGCCCACCTCACAGAGTCGAGGTCACAGCAGATGAGCTTCGTGCCACAGCACTTTGTGTAAATTACAGACGGTCATGAAACGAAACAGGCGTCCACGTTGACCATTTCCCGTGCAGCAAGTAGCAGGCTTCCTGAGATTATGCACTGCCTTCCTCCTATTGTACTGGCCCACGGTAGACGGTGGAAGGAGAAACCAACCTCAGGGCGTGCGGAACAGCGTGTTCCTGCCTCGGACCATAAATTCCATGCTGACCACACCAAGAGATGGGCAGGCTCCAGACAAGCCTCTGCCTTCCCGCCCTGGTCGTTCGGTCGGTCAGTTGGTCGGTCGGTTGGTCGGTTGGTTGGTCGGTCAGTCGGTCGGTGCCACGCTGCCCCTGGCTGTCTGGGTGGGATCTGGCCTGAGTGCTGAGCCCCCTGCCCTGCTGATCATCCGGCCCAGAGCCCCATGTTCTTGCTGAACGCTGCACATTCAGCCAGCAGAGAGATCTAGGCCCTGTTAGCCCACTTAGTCAGGCTTTTCCTTGAGATTTAATTCATGGAAAGTTCACCCCTTTAAATGTGTAGAGCTCCCTGGCTTTGAGTGTGTTCACAACGGCGTGCAGCCTTGACAACTTGCTAATTCCAGAGCCCAAAAAGAAACGCCTGCCACCTTAGCAGTCAGCCCATTTCTCTCCCCCAGCCCTGGTGGAAGCCACTCCGCTGTCTCGCTTCCTGGGGGTCCCTGGGAGGGCCGCCCCCTGATGTTGCTCCCTGCCGCCAGCTTCCTTGGCATCACATGTTTGCACACCTGCACGCTGTGGCGCACGTTGGTGCAGGCGCTCCGTATCTAACTGGGGTGTCCTGATGAACCTGCTTTGTCTCACATACATTCAGTTTGCTGAGGGCGCTTGAGTAGGCTCAAAACACACCTTGGCCTCAGATGGCCAGCAGTATTAAAAAAAAAAAAAAAAATAGAAAAACAGCAAGGACAGGCTCTCTTTAAGATAAAGGTCTGGGGGCATTGTCCCAGGCAGCAAAAGCGGCTCTCTTCAGAGAAAGCGCTGACAGGCATGACGCAGTGAGGTGGCCCAGCCTGCTGCTGCCTGGGATCAGGCCTCTGGGTCCGTGGCCAGGAATGCATCATACAGGAAGGAGACAGTTCATGCGCACAGAAGAGTGTGGACCGCAGCCCGGGAAACGGCTTCAGTGTCCGGGAGCCAGGGAGCCAACTGAGGCTCAGGGTTAGTGCTGTGGGCCAGTGCATTCATAGAGGGTGGCGAGAGGGGTAGGGCAGGGAGCTGAGTCCGGCAGGGTGGTGAGGGTGGAGCTGTACTTGTTCCTGGTCAGTGTTGTAGTCTGGGTTTTACTAGAGAAAAGATTAAATACAGGGCACATATTTATAGGATTATTTTATAACAGTCACCCAAAGTGTCACATGCTAAGGAATGCAGGAGATCTCTGCACAGGGAAAGACCAAGGTGTCCAGCTGAGGGCCCGGAGCCTCCTCCTCGGTATCCTCCACGAGTCCAGCTGGAGGCCCAGAGCCCACAGCGATGTCTCATGCAAGTCTGTATTGAGCCTCTGTGCTGAGAAGACCCAAAGCCCCCCTGATTGCCACACGGGTACACACCCGGGACAGTAGTGGTGAAGCAGGAAAGTGTGCCAGCGGGATGAAGGGTCTGCACTGGAGCCAGGGGGCAGAGTGAGAACCAGTGCTTCCTCGGAAAGATCAGGGCATCTGTAGCAACAGTGAGCACCGAGCTCCTCTGAGGGTGAGAACGGCCAAGCCCTACCGGGAAAGCTAGTGCGGTGGGCTGCCCCAGGAGAGCCAGCAGCACACCCTTTCTCTGCACTTCTCTTTTATGCTGCTGACAACAACCCTCGGGTGGGCCCTCCACGGTCAGCACCACACTGATTCAGTTCAGCTGGGTGTCACAAGGTGACTATTCATTAAGCCACCACCGTCAGGAGCTAAGGTTGACCCCATGGACAGGCATTGAGCAGAGAAGGCAGCGTAGACTTAGTTTGGCCAAGTAGCAGCAGACCCTAAATTTTTTGACTTAACTGTCAGCAAGAGGAACTCACTGAACAGGGTAGAAAGCAGAAGTGGATGACACAACCGATCCTGATTGGAGGTGGCCTGGAGGCCAGAGTCAGTGGGCGTCCTAGGGAGCGAAGTGGAGGCTTGAAGGAGTGTTGGGGGGAGGGGAGGGGAAAGCGAACAGGTTGGGGGCAAGGTCAGGGGGGTCGGCCAGCAGCCTGGCTCGGCAGCGGGGAGGGCAGCAGGGACCACCTTTCAGTCAGCCCCTGCAGTCTGTCCCCGCAGCTGCCTGGCTGCCTGTTGCCCAGAGCTGGAGAAGGGATCCGTCCTGGGCAGGAGCCACACTAAAGCCACCATGGGCAAATGAAGGGCTGGTATGGCCCCACTGCATGCAGGTGAACTGCAGGTCTCGAGACCGTGGTATAGAGGAATAAGTGGCCCAGGGAGACCTCTAGCAGATGCCACCGGAACAGTCACTGGCACTTGAGCAGAGGGCCTGGGCCAGGCCCCGTCAGGCCAGCCAGGCAGGGCAGGCGAGTGCCCAGTACCCTGTTTGCCACATCAAAAGCATGGCCCGCTCTTCAGAACTTGCTTAGGTAATCCATCGGCCTGGCCCAGCTGCGTGCAGAGCCGGAGAGCAGGACTACTAGGGACCCTCTTCAAGTGTGAAGCCTGTTTCAAAGTGCTGGGGACCTCAGGTTAGTTGTTGGCAGTGGCGCTAACAGTGAGGAATGAGTGGCTTGTGCAGTCCGGTTTTGCTCTGGGGACTGGGTGCACTTTCCCATGCCCTGGAGTGAGCATCCCTGTGCCTGCACACCCCCTCCCTAGCCCAGCTGGGAAGTTCAGCACACTGCAGACTTGCGGCGTATGCCGAGCTCTGTACCCTGGAATGCGATGGACAGGTGGCCCTCATGCAGGCTGTGCAAACCCTGAGGGGCTGACGGGCCACTCCGCGCAGGACCCAATCCCCCAGAGCCCCAGCAGGGACACTGGGTGCTCAGCAGCACCCCTGTGGCTGGGGTCTAGTTCCCGAGTGCCCTGTGGGGGCAGTCAGCCTCTCCTGTGCTGGTTGCCTGCTTTCCCATCTTGGGAGAGCTGTTGAGGTCCTTTGCCCGCTTTTTAATTGTGCTGTTTTTGTTATTGTTAGAGTAGTTCTTCAGAATTCCTTATTATGTTTTTTACCAGCATGTGACTGGGAAATACTTGCTTAAGGTTTGCTTAGGGTTCTTTCGCTGTATTGATAGCATTGTTTAAATACAAAAGTCTTAATGTTGTTTGGGGTTTTGGGCTTGCTTGTTCTCTTGGTATCTCAAACTACTGCCTACGCGGAGGTCATAAAAATTTGTACTTATGTTTTCTCTTAAGGGTGTTCCTTGCTCTGGTATTTAGATGTCTGGGACTTGTGGAGGTCATTTTTGTGTATATGTGAGGTAGGGCTCCAACTATTTCTTTCCTTTTTATTTTTGGTACACAGCTATCCAGCTGTCCCAGCACCCTGTTTGAAAAGACTGTCCTTTCCCTACTGCGTTTTCATGACATCTCTACTAAAATGAACTGCACACGCAGTGAGAAGTTTTATTCTAGCCCCTCCGTTCCGTCCTGTCGACCTGCAGCTCTCTGGTCTCACTGCGCGGCCTTGAGCGCTAGAGCTGTGTGGTGAATCCTGAAGTCAGAACACCCGAGCCGTCCTGCTTTTTCTCCCTCATCAGGACTGTTGCTGTCAGGGCCTTTGGCGTTTCCATGACTCTTGCGTCCTCCTCAGCTCACATTTGCGGGACACAGTGACCACGTCCCCTGTAGGCAGTGGGCATGGGACAGAGTGATCACGTCCCCTCTGGGCAGTGGGCACCGGGCAGAGTGACCACATCCCCTGTGGACAGTGGGCACCAGGCAGAGTGACCACGTCCCCTCTGGGCAGT